TGAGCTTTGGGAACCAAAGCGTACATAGGAAACCTTAAGAGCTGAAGTCACAGCACTCATGGAGTATTCTGACTGATTTTGAGACTGTGATTTTTGATGCAAATAGGGATGGGCTGCACCTTCCTTGAACAGAAGGAAAGTATCCACTAGGACTGATGATTGACACTGCAGGGTCACATTCTCTCCTAAGGAAACAGTAGTGCCTGGATGCATAGAGAGATTTGGTATAACTTCAGGTTACCATAAAGAGATGAAAATTAGTGAGTGAAGAACTGCAGGGATTGGTCTGAGTCCTCCTTTCAGAACCTAGTCTCTCTATATTTTAAAAGACTGTGCACTCTGTTGTCCCTAGACCTATTCCTCTGTGAGATGTTCATCATCATCTTGATGATGAGTCCCAGGTCTCCTCCCTGCTAAACCTGCACTAAAATCTTCACCTGTGATCAGGATGTCCAGAGGATCACTAGGGGCTGAAAACTCAGAGGAGGAACTGCGTACACCAAGGCATCTATACTGACCACCAATGGAGGAATTCACAAAGCCTAACCTGAAATTGTCATGAAAATATGCATCCTGAGACTGATGGACAGAGACCTGGGTGAGGCCACTTTCCCCCTTAGTGAACAAAGCAAATCTGTAATAACTTATCTCAGAGGAATACTTGAGGATCTGGTTCTCTACAAAATCCAGGTAAGGGCATTTGAAGGTTGGTATGGAGTGATTCTTTGACAGTCCTAAGAGCAGGAGAGTCATGAAGCCATACAACTGTATTTTTCTATACATTCCACATCCCATCCTGCCCTGACAGTGCCATGGCCATTAGCACTCAACAGTTTCCTTTAGCCATCATGGCTTTAAATCTTCCTTGAGGCAGCACAATGTATGAGAATGGGTTTCTGGTGCCAAACAGTTGAGTAAATGAGACTTCCTCACCTGAGACATGTATCTCCAAAGGGTCACTGGCCTCCGACCACACATGCGGAGAATTTGTATAACGTCCATAACATCTGAAGGGCCCACTCTTGCTGGATGCCATGGTGATCTCAGAAAACAGAGCTAGGGACTGTCTAGTGTGTGTAAGCTGTGCCTTTAGAGACCTGGAGAAATTTTGATCTGCCCCAGTCAAAATGAACCAATCATATCCTTTAGATGAGACACACTTAAGGGTCACATTCCCACCTGGGGTCACCACAGGGCTGGGCAAAGCTGACAGAGTAGGTTTACCATGGTGAACACCTAGGAGAGGAAGAGGCAGCCTGTTTAATAAAAGACAGCCCATAATGTCTCCAGCAGAAAAGCTGAGGAAGCACACCTATGGAAGATTATTTCCTGAGGACAGAGGCAAAGATTGTGACACTTAGTGTCCTCTCACCCGTCACCACCAGCTCCAGGGGATCACTGCGCTCTGTCCAGCCAGCAGAGGTGTAAGAGTAACAGCGATATTTTCCTGCATGATGCTGTTCCATGGATGCTATTGAGAACATGGCCGTGTTACCAGGATCTATTGGGGTTTGACTGTCCCAAGGTGCTGGATTTCCTTCTTTATAGAGGAAATACATTGGTTGGTTTCCCATGGTCCCCTCACACACAATTGTCACACTATTCCATGAGGCAATCACAGATCCCGGCTCAGCCCTCAAAATGGGTTTCTTAAGTTTTCCTACAAGGAAGTAGAAGAGAAGGATGTGGGGTCAATCAAACAGTTTCAGAGTAAAGATCAAACTTGCTCCTGATCTTGAACTTTACTCCTAAATAGAAAAAGAACCAATAATGTCATGGGAAGACACATCATTCTCCTGACCCTCCCAGGTTCCATTCTTACTATGCTGTCCCCTCATTTTCTATACAGTGACTCTCATGGTCTGCATACTGTGTCAACTGACTCAGGAACCCTGAATCCTCAAACACATGTCACGCCATGATCTAAACTGGGATCCTGTGTCTAGTAGAATATGATTCTACAGAGACCCTGCAGTACCCTCACCTGAGATCAGAAGTTCCGAAAGGTCACTCCCTTCTGACCACACCTGATTATTACTTCTGTAAGAGCCATAGCATCTGAACATCCACCTTTGGCTGAAGGCTATTGGTGTCACTTGGAACTTGGCAAAAAATAACCCAGTGTCTTTATCTTGTGAACGCTCACTGCGCAAGAACTTCTGATCATCCTTAGTTAAAATGAACCAGTTGTATGAATGATTTGAGGTACAAGAGAGTGTCACAGTCATTCCTACAGTCACAACAGGGGCTTGTAGTGGCAACAGTATGGGTTTGTTGTAGACTCCTAAAAGAAATCACATAGAAAATTCAAGTGGACCACACAGTCTAAATTGATGCCCACGGCTTTTTTTCTATGGGAAATAGTGCTACAGCAGTCGGTACTTGAGAGTGACTTCTGGGGCAAGGATTTTTTAGTTTCTCTCACCTGTCACCACCAGCTCTAAGGTGTTACTGCGTTCTGTCCATCCAGCAGAGGTGTAGGAGTAGCAGTGATATCTCCCTGCATTCAATTCTGTCATAGAGGAAATGGTGAGTTTTGCATTATTATTGTAGACTATTTGGTTCTGTTGGTCCCAAGGATCTGGGCTTCCCTCTTTATATATCACATAGATTAGGGTTGTTAGTTTTGCCTTACACCAGATGGTAACATAACTCCCTGAGGTGATCACAGATCCTGGCTCAGCCCATATGGTGGGCTTGTCAAGGGTCCCTGCAAAGAAGTAGGAAGAAAGTAGGTGCATCTGTCACTAAAATGTCACAGAGAAGGTCACAATTGCCCCTGACACATAAGCTGATCTACAATAGCAGAAGTACACATAAAGACCACACATTTCCATGGATCTTAGATTTCACTATAGTATCATCCATAGTTTCTATACTTCAAGACCAGCTGTATCAGAAATTCTGTGACATTGAGTCCAGTAGCCCTGGTTGTCTATCACCCAGCACAAATCAGGTATTTTCCAGGGACCCTGTGTCAGTTGCAATTATACCCAAAAGAACGTACTGCACTTCCTTACCTGATACCAGGAGCTCCAGTTGGTTACTGGGAACCGACCACAGCCAAGGGCTGCTCAAGGAATAACCATAGCATGTGAACCTCCACCTCTTGTTGGGGGTCACAGGATCCACCAAGAACGTGGCTCTAAATATGTCAGAGGATATTTTCTGTGAGCGTTCAGGACTCGAGAGCTTCTCACCGTCCTTCATTAGAATGAACATACTGTACGGTTGTTGTGACTGACACTGAAGGGTAACTCGCCCCCCTGCAGTCACCACAGGGCTGGGAATGGCTGACAGAGCGACACTGCTGAGGTTAACTCCTAGCAGAGCAGAGGAGGGCTGTTAGGAGAACTTATATGAGAAACATGGTTCCCCACTTCTCATATTTGAGAAAGGAGGCCCCTTAAATCAAATCCAGGTGCTGAGGGAGGGTTCTGTTACCTGTCACCACCAGCTCCAGGGTGTCACTGTTTTCTAATGAGCCACTGGTGCTTGTGTAAGAACACCAATATTGGCCTGCATTGTTCCATTGAACTGAAGACATAGAAAACTTGGCCTTATTCTCAGTTTCTAGAAGGGATGTTGGTATCAGGTAGTCTTGAATTCCTATTTTGTAGAGACGATATTCTTTGGCCTCTGAGGGCCCTTCACAGGAGAATGTCACCTGGTTCCCAGTGGCTACCACATTTCCTGGCATTGCTCTCAGTGTAGGTTTAGAGACGGCCCCTGAAAGAAATTGACAATTGGTTCCCCATAACTCCCTCTCTGATAAAAAGCTTCTGACCCAGAACCTTTCAGGCATCCCCAACATCCGGCTAAACCTGCTGTTCTCCATGTATTCTGCTCATGAGTGCCCCGTGATCCCCAATAAGGATGTCCAAACTAAGACAGTTGGGAAGACACTTACCTGCTGAAGCTGGGTTCCAGATGTTTGGGCTCAGTCCTGGAAGAGAGTGACCTGTGAATGTTTACATTGAAACATGAGTACGACCTCCATTTCCCAGTGCCCTCTGGAGAAGTTGAGACATCTAGATTGCCCAAATTATGATTGTGAGGTTGGATTCCCTCTCAGAGAATATTTCTTCCTCCACATGTGGCATCTCACCAAGAAACAGCAGCACTATAAGAAATGGGGTCATGGCTTCTTCCAGTTGCCACAAGTTTACAGGTAGATGATCTCCTTTCCAAACACACAAACACAAATTGTGTGGCCTATGCAAGCTGTTTTCTGATTCCTGTCATGAGGATGTCATACTGGCAGCCCCTAAAGAAGAGGAACTGTTCTAATCAGCAGCCTGACTCTTTTCTCCCCGGGCTATGATGGGTTGGGCTAAAGATTTTGTGGCTTCTATCTCTCTATGGTTCTTTAGTTTTTGTTTTTGTTTCTGGGACAGTACTTCTTAAACCTCATCCAGGTCTCAGATTTCTCCTTCTTCTCCCTCAGCATTCTGTATATGAGTATTACAAACCCATGTCTGACTGAGGCCTCTTCTTGAAGAACATCTTCCCTGTAACCATCTACATCCTCCTAAATGTTCTCAGTCATCACAGACCAGGACTTAACACAAAATAAGCCTGATCATTTCCTGACCTAGCACCTTCACTTGAGGGATATGGTGCTTGTTCTTTTTCTCTTAGCTCTTGGTTCTCCTTTAGTCCTTCATACAGACCAATCTCATGGTCAGTTTTCTAATGAGTCTGTAAGATGCTTTGGGATGTTGTATGAATGTTACCTAGGGATACAAAAACAATGTTTATACAGGTCATATGGAACAATGGTAACAGAAACAAAGACAAGACTCCATACAAATCTAGCTGGTGAAACAATGAGTTACATTATGGCTCTGTAGAAGCTTGTCATCAATGTTGGGATTTTTGTGGTTTGTTTTTGTTTATTTGAATGTTTAGACAGGGTCTTACTATGATGACAGGCTGTACTGGAACTCACTCTGTAGACCAGACTAGAATCAACAACCAGTCTCACACACAACTGTTGACAACAGTGTGCTCTGCTATGCCCAGAAATATTGGAAACATGTCAGTGGTTATGCCCCTTAAAAAATGCCTGCAACTTTTAACTGCCTATAGTTCTGATGGGAAGGGGGTGACCTTAGGAGCCTCAACACCAAGAAAGAATACTGATGGGACCAATGTTTTACAGGTCACTTGTGTGTAGTAACAGCTACAGAGACTTCAATAGGACCAGAATATTTCCATGGTGGAGAGCAGTGTTCTACAACAAAGAAAGATGCAGGCTGATGCTCCTGGGATCATGGAGAAGAGAAGGGACATGCTGAGCACATGATCCTTTATTTCTCCTGAATGAACATAGAGAAGACATGTATGGAAATGGAGAAAGAAATGTTCTGTGCTCACAGCTTTGATTTGATTCTATTCTGCTAAATAATAATCCCTCATAGATTGATTGCTCTTTTCCTATCACCATACATGTCTAACATAGGAACAAATTCTCAGCATTCTCTTTTCTCTTGTGTTCCTCTTTTATTGTTCAGAATCCTCTGGTTTTTGTAAAGGCTGAAATTAATTTAATGCCTGTTCAATTATAAATGTCTATTCCAAATTAGTGTTATTGGCATCTCAACTCTGAGCCTCAGCACCATCCTGATTGTCTAATATCAGCGTCATTTTCACCATATTCATAAGTTCATGATTGCCTGGGATTTGGATGTACAAGAAATGATTAATCTTCAGACAGTTTTACAATGTAGTTGGCATGAAAGAGGGATTTGGTTATGTAAATATTATGGTTAAACAGTCCCTCTCTGCTCTCATGTTTTTCAGATGGTTAATATATTGCATCTAAACTGTGAAGGTCATCAAAATCAAACTTCCCCAAAATGAAAGTTCCCAAAATGCAGACAGTTCCTTATTCAAGAAAAGAGGCTAACATTGTTCAGTGCCTTAACCTACCCTTGGGAAGAATCTACAAGAGGTAGTTTTGCCTTCATGATATCTGAGATATGATCAGGGCTCCAAGTTTGTTCATATCTATGTATGCTCTGTGATATTTCTGTAGGCAGATATTGCATATGCTTCATATTGCTGTCTGGTGCCCACATTGACACTAAAATAGGTCAATTCCTACATTTATCCACCGGTTTATTGTTTCATGTGTAGGTATCAGTTTTGTTGTGGGATATTTTTACACTGTGTGACAAAGTTTTGCTTTGATTTGTGTAATTAAAGTCTGAATGGCCAATAGCTGGCAGGAGGTATGGGTAGGACATCAGGACAGAGAGAGAACTCTGGGAAGAAGAAAGGCAAAGTCACCAGTCAGACACTGGACACTGACAGGACACTGGAGCTGGAAGATGGAAGAAAGTCTATGCCATGATAGCTAGGTAGGAGGGATAGGCAGGATTTCTGGGGGGGAGGAAGGTGGAGAGGATCTAATAATGCAGAGTGTGCCATAGAGATTCTAGAAAACTCAGAACAAGCCAGAGGTACAGAATGGAATAGAGGCAACTAAAGCATGTAACAAGACATAGATAAGTAAAATAGGTTAGTATAAGCTATAAGAACTAGTTAGAAACAATCCTAAGCCACATGCTGATTTTTGTAATTGATAAAAGTCTTTGTGTCATTTTTGGGAGGCTGGATAATAAGTCAGAGACAGATTCCTTACAAATGGCATCCATAGAAGAAGTATTTCCACATAGTACCCAAAAAAGTGTTTTAAAAGTGCCAAACAGCCGGAGAGATGGCTCAGTGGTTAGGAGCATTGCCTGCTCTTCCAAAGGTCCTGTGTTCAATTCCCGGCAACCACATGGTGGCTCACAACCATCTGTAAAGAAGTCTGCTGCCCTTTTCTGGCTGCAGACATGCACACAGACAGAGTATTGTATGTATAATAAATAAATAAATATTTTTTAAAAAGTGCCAAACATAGAGCCAGATGTCACTTCTTATTTCCATAGTCTTTAGGTAGCCACTGCCTGATGGCTTGAGCCAGCTAGCATGAAGTATGGAAATTCATGATAGGTTTAAGGTTGTGTGTTTTTTAAAACAAAACGAGAGGTAGCACAGGTAATCCAGACGTTCAGACTGCCTCTGTTGCAGTTTCCTCAAAATTCGGCTTCTAGAACAACTTCAAATCTGCAAGGCGAGAAGGTTCAGCCTCACAGACAACTGAAGTCATACTTCAAATAAGTCCTACATTTTCCCACCACACGTATACTAGACAATAGCTAGCTCTCCCCGCAGTTGAGCATTATCTTAATTTTCTCAGTTTCACATACAGATCCATCATCCATGGATAACAGGAGGTAATTTAGAGAGCACAATGCCTGTATTTCCAAGAGGTGGGGTAGGTGTTTTTTGATCATTCAGTTGTGGGAAGGATGCTTAAATGAAATCCCACACTAGCTCAGAATTGAGAAATAGATGATTACTTATTTGAGGGTAAACTCACAAATCTGAATTCTCTTTATTTGCACTTCATTAGTGTGATATACCTTTTATAAATGTATTAGATCTTAAAAAAATCAATCCAAATTCCCACCCCTGAATACTTTTTTATTTTTTACTGTTATTTTTTTAATTTCTGCCTCCTCCCTGCCTCCCTTTTCCCTCCACCTCCTCCCACTCCCCACATCCCACTTTCCT